TTCTTCCTCAGCGATGTGTTTTGGGTCTGTATCCTGGTCCCTTGTTTCTCCTGCTTTATCTTGCTTTTTTGTGTGGACTGTGATGCTCTGTTGTCTCTGAGGCATTGTGACATTTTTGTGTTTATATTTAATTGGTGATTATATGTTGGAGTGACTTGCCCACAATTTTTGTTTTCTTTTTTTGTTTGTTTGTTATCTATGCAGGCAGAGTACTATGCTGTGCTCCTCTATTCACTAGTTGACAACACTTATACACTCACCATCTGTCTCCTTTCCTTTGTCAGCCTCTTATATGTCCTTGCCAACCCTGGCAAACAGAGCCTGTTCATAGGTCCCTGGAATCCGAATGAGAATGCTATCACTTTAAAATCCAAAATGGTTGCCACTTGTAAACATTCAAAATGGCTGCCACGTGTAAACAATCAAAATGGCTGTGCCCTCCAGATGGCAGAAAGACAACAGCTCAGGTTGTCTCCCTCCTTGTTGTTTTCCTTCCTAGTCATAGGCCACCAGAGCAGTTGTCCCTGCAGCCCTTGGTGACCGGGATTTAGGTCAATTCTCAGGTCCCAATGCCACTTGGAAATATTCAGGGTGTTGGTCTTGTCAGAGTAGCTGACAGTCCGCAACTCCAGCGATCTCTGTACTCACTGTTTTCGTTCAGGTTTTTCCACTAGTTGGTGCCTAATCCATTTCTGTATAGTTCCTTTCAAAGCTCAGTGTTCCAGGATTATCTTCTGTATCTCTGTCAATTGGTTTTTCTTTTCTTTGTTGAGGAGGGTCTTTGTCGCTTGTCTGCCTATTCCTCCATCTTACCGGAAGTCGAGAGATTAGATTCTTATCAGATATGTTGTTCCAAACGATTTTTTCTTAGTCTGTTGGTTCTCTATTTACTCTTTTGAGAAAGTCTTTTGATGAGCATAAATATTTAATTTTAGTTATCTAATTTGTCTTATGTCATTCTTGCATTTGTAGTTGTGTTTGATAGTCTATTTTTGAAGAAAATTTGGTTCAATAAATATTTTAAATATAAGTAGTAGAGTTGTTGTTGTTAGGTGCCATCGAATTGGCTCTGACTCATAGTGACCCTGTGTACAATGGAATGAAACGCTGCCCAGTCCTGTGTGAGCCTCATGATCCCTGCTATACCTGAGCCCATCATTGAAGTACTGTGTCAGTCCATCTCATGGAGGGCTTTTCCCTTTTTTGTTGACCCTCCACTTTACCAAGCATGATATCCTTCTCCTGGGAATGGTCCCTTCTGACAACATGACCAAAGTAAGTGAGATGAAGTCTGGCCATTCTTGCTTCCAAGAAGCATTCCAGCTGCACTTCCTCCAGGACAGATTTGTTAGTTTCTCTGGCAGTCTATAGTACTTTTAGTATTCCTTGCCAACACCATAGCTCAAAAGCATCAGCTCTTCTTCAGTCTTCCTTATTCATTGTCCAGATTTCACATGCATATGGGGCACTTGAAAACACTGTGGCTTGAGTTGTTGTTGTTGTTGTTGTTGTTATTTGCCATTGAGTCAGACCTGACTCATAGTGACCCCTCCTTGGGTTTCCAAGACAATATCACTATGGAAGTAGATTGCCCCATCTTCTTTCCAAGGAGTGGCTGGTGGGTTTGAACTGCCAGCCTTCTGGTTAGCAGTCAAGTAAGTGTCTTAGGCACTACGCTACCAGAGCTCCTGTGGCTCGGGTTAGGCGCACCTTAGTCTTCAAGGTGTGGTCTCTTAGCTCTGCTCCTGCTGTCTTTCATGCCACTCTTTTGGCTCTGGTCCTTCCGTCTCTTATGCCACATGCCAGGGTCTCTTTATCAGGGTCTTGGGTCAAGGATGTACTACATTCCAGTTTCCACATTTTAGGTATCTGTCAAAGCAGTCTCTGGGTACTGTATTCTGTTTTGGTTACCTAGTGCTGCTCTGACAGGAATTTACCACAAATGCTCTCTTGTGACCACCTGGGTCCACTTGAATGGAAATGGGAGAAGTGCATCAATGAAGAAATGGGCTGAGTTTGGTACTCCATGGCGTAGGCCATGGAGGCTAGGGATGAGATGAGGGGCTGGTTGGCCTGAAGTGCAAGGAGTTATGTGGAAATAGTTCCTTAGGACTGAGGGTAAAAGAGAGAAGGCACTGGCTGGTCTGAGGTGAAGGGAAGAGTGTGACTCCCCAGCTTCGCAGCTGGAACCCATGACCTAACTGGGATGGCTAGGGCTGAGCTGACCAGAACCAGACCAAAAAAAGACAAAGGTGTTTGACCCTGAGCTGGTGTTAAGTTGCTGTTATTTGATGGCTTACACTGGGTTAGACTTTGGTTATTTATGGATGTAGATGCCCAAAGTTTCCAGGCAGAATAGTTTTCTTCAGTGAGAAAGAACACTCTTGTCTCTTCAGAGTACTGGTTTGATAGGGATGGGAAAATTAGAAATTGGCTGTCTAAAATGGAGGCAGATAAAGGCATGAAGTGACTGGCTTACACACTTACATGGATGTGGTTATTCTCAAACTGATAATGAAGGGGATGTTAATTTTTGATGTATAAAAGGGATGATGGCTAAAAAAGCCAAGGGGTGGCCTGCGGTGTAGTAAATTACATGGTATGGCTTTTCTAGTCATAATTTTTGTAACTCCTCCTTTGCCACGAGTAGCTTTTTGTTAAAATTATCCAGCTGGTGTATTTCTGTTGGAGTGGGAGGAAAAATCTTCTGGGAAGTTTGCTGTCTCTCAGGTATATAGAATTATGATGTGGGAATTAGCTGGTTTTGACCACTCTGCCAGGTTCAAAAGGAGCCCTCCTAGAGGCAGAGGGAGAGAGTCTCTTTGACTACTGGCAGCAGACAGTGCTGCTGAGAGAAACGTGCTGCTGAGATATGTGAGAGAGACATGCTCCTGAGAGAGACACTTGCTACTGAGAGAGACTGAGAGAGACTGTCAGCTGAGAGATGGCTGGCTGAGAGATGGACAGCTGAGAGAGACTGAGCACATTCCTGAACTTGAATTGTAGCCTGTTGCTTCCCTAATAAACTCCATAATCTGTGAGTTCTGTGTGGCCACTGCAGTGAATTATCAAACCCAGCAGAGAAGTGGTGGGTGCTGTGGGAAGAATGGTTGGTGTCAAGGTTAGTAAGAGGCCGGCGGGGTGGTGGCATGTCTGACCTCATAGGTGCAGGTTTGGGCTACTTTTGGTAATTCTGTCCTCCTTGTAGAGTTAGAGTTGCTCAGAAGATGCCGTCTCTTTGCCCCTTTTGCAGTAGTATTTACTGGTCTTCCTTGTAGGTATATGGATATTATCCTATCACTGACAGCATTATACTTCAGGATAGATCTTGGAACATTCTTTGTGATGGTGAATGCCATTCCTCTTTACTTTGCCATTCCTGGCATAGTAGATCATATGGTTGTCTGATTGAAAATGACCAAACCAGTCCATTTAAGCTCACTAATGCCTGGGATATCGATCCTTATGCATTCCATTTCATTTTTGACAACTTCCAATTTTGCTAGAGTCATACTTCATACTTTCCATTTTCCAATTATTAATTGATGTTTGCAGCTGTTTCTTCTTCTTTTGAGTTGAGCCACACCAGCAAATGGAGGTCCTGAAAGCTTTACTCGATCCACATCATTAAGATCGACTCTACTGTGAGGAGGCAGTGATTCCCCCATCATATTTGAGTGCCTTCTGATTTGAAGGGCTCATCTATTGGCATATTATTGGACAGTTTCAAGGCTATTTGTAAAGTTTTCCCATAATTAACAGTGTTTCACTGCTGTTCATAAGGTTTTCACTGGCCAATTCTTTGAGAACTGGATAGCCCCTTCCTTGTTCTGAGTTTGTCTTAGTTTTAAGGTTCTGCTGAAACCTGTCCACCATGGGTGACCTTCATGGTATTTGAAATACCTTTGGCATAGCTTGCAGCCTCACAGCAACACACAAACCACCACAGTACAACAAACTGACAGATAATGGTGTAAGTAATAGAGGGAAAACACAAAATAATGATCCCATTTGTCTGATGGAATCTTGCTGAGGCTTCTGAATGACTTTTGGTCAGTTAGTTTTTAACTGTTTTCTTGTCTTTCAGTTCCAAATTCTCCACGCCTTGGGCTGAAGGTAGAAACTATTGCTCATCTAATTATCATTGCAAATGATGATGCATTTGGAATACTTCAGCTTTCAGCGTCAGTTGTTCGAGTGGCAGAAAATCACGTTGGACCAATTATCAATGTGACTAGAACAGGAGGAGCATTTGCAGATGTTTCTGTGAAGTTTAAAGCTGTGCCAATAACAGCAATTGCTGGTGAGAAAAGATACTGAAGGAGAAGTGAATTGTTTTAGAGGGACAGTAAATACTTGATAACACAATTCCTCAAAGATGTATTAAAAAAACAAAACAGAAAACAACAATACTGTTGTGTCTTTTTAAGGCACAAATCTAGAGTTTATATCATGTATTTTTGACAGTGTGCATTTGTAGAATTTATGAAAATTGTCAACAGCGTTGTATGTGAATTTAAAAGCTATAAAACATTTTGATCGAGAAGATTCTGACTCATAGCTACCATATAGGAGAGGGTAGAACTGACCAATAGGGTATCCAAGGCTTTAAAGTTTTATGGAAGTAGACTGCCTCATCTTTCTTTCACAAAGCAGCTGGTGGATTTGAATTACCAACCTTTTGGTTAGCAGCCGATGCTTTAACCACTGCACCACCAGAGGTCCTTTTAAAAGTTATGATACCCAAAACATGAACAAACCAATAAAGAATACTAGGGAAAACATCGTTAAATTCTCTCTGGTGTGCTTTTTAGATTCTCAAAGAGATTCAATGTGTAAATGACTAAAGAATGCAGAAATAAATGAACAAGAGCTACAGTTTCAGTGCTTGGCAAAACAGACTTGTCTCTGAGCCTGTTCTTCTTGCCTGCTTATTTATGGAAAGCATGGATGATACAGTTGTTAGCATTAAATATTTATGTATAGGAAAAATTATTTCATTGCCAAATGCAAACATACATTAGGAGACAACCTTATTTGGTGGGACAATTAGATCATTTAGAGGGAAATTATCTAGGAGCCTTTCAGTTAGAATCTTTCCAGTGTGTACTCACAGGAACATGAATGTGAGCAGACAGGTGAAAAAGAAAAATGCTTGACTTTTTGATATAAATCATCTGGACATGATATATGCTTGAAAAGTCAATAAACCAGGCTCAACTAGTTCCCGGGTGGGTGTGTATGTTCTTTTTGGAATGGATAGCCCCAGGAATGCCTGACAACCTCTAGGTGTCTTACTGTACTGCCAGATTAAGCATTGATTATATTCTAGGATATTAGCCCCTAGTCTCTATAGGAGTGTCCCTTCTTTCCCCACCTACTATTTGGCCAGAAGACTACTACTGTCTTCCTGATCTGTATACCAAAAATACCAAACTCTCTGCCTTCGAGTTGATTCTGACTCATAGTGGCCCCCTTTGGGTTTCTGAGGCAGTAAATCTTTATAGAAACACATTGCCGAGTCTTCCTTCTGAAGAGTGGCTGGTGGGTTTGAATTGACAACCTTCTGGTTAGTAGTCAAATGCCTTAGGCACTATGCCACCAGAGCTCCTTCATCTGTATACAGTGGCAGTTTTTAATCCAACTTTGCAGAAAATTTCACAGATTCCAGTTGTATTATCGATGAAGCTAACATGCCATTTGTCTCCCTAGTGAGATTAGAATTCTGGTTCTTGTAAAAGTTTTGCACACCTTTTTTTTTTGTTTCTTTTGTAGAAATGACGATTTTGTGTTGAGGATGACTCTCTGTGTAAAATAGAACAACTTATGCACACTAACTTCTGAAAGTAAAGGAATGAACTTGAACACATTTAGGAGGTCTTTTTAATTGCTTTGTGATATGATCAAATCCATTTTCTGGTGAAAAACATAAAATATTCTTGTTTATAACAGATACATTAAACAACCTCAAAAAAGGTTTTCCAGACATTCCCATGAAATTTGATACATCAGTGTGTCTTCTAATATATGGTATGTCTATGATTATATTTTAGAATAAGTCTGTTAGCATTTTGCCTTTTGTCTTTGTAGGTGAAGATTACAGCATAGCTTCATCAGATGTGGTTTTGTTAGAAGGGGAAACCAGTAAAGCTGTGCCAATTTATGTCATTAATGACATTTACCCTGAGCTGGAAGAATCTTTTCTCGTACAGCTGCTGAATGAAACAACAGGAGGAGCCAAACTAGGGGCATTAACAGAGGCGATCATTATTATTGAGGCCTCTGATGACCCCTATGGATTATTTGGTAATTATAATAGTTTTTGCTTATTTTTTACTTGTCTGTAAAGGTCATGTAAAATGCCTTTCCTTTTCATTTTAGAGACTCAGACTTGATTTGGTCTTTTTTTTTGTTTTGTTTTGTAAATGCTGTTACTGACATATAGGATATGCATGGTACAGTTGGAGCTCTGGTGGTGCAGTGGGTAAAGCATTTGGCTGTTAACCACAAGGTTGGTTGTTCAAACCCACTAGCTGCTCCGTGGGAGGAAGATGAGGCAATCTACTTTTGAAAGATTTAAGTTTTAGAAACTCTATGGGGTTGCTATGAGTAAGAACTGACTTAATGGTAATAGGCTTATGATTGTAGGTACTATTGTAAACCACAAAAAACCCAAACTCACTGCCGTCAAGTCTGTTTGACTTATAGTGACCCCTCCTTGGGTTTCTGAGGCGGTATCTCTATGAAAGTAGATTGCCCAATCTTCCTTCCAATTGTTGTTGTTGTTGTTAGTTGCTGTCGAGTCGTGTCTGACTCATAGTGATCCTATGCACCGCAGAACAAAACACTGTCAGGTCCCATCCCAGCTCCATGATCCTTGCTATATTTGAGCTCATCGTAGCAGCCACTGTCAATCCATCTTGTTGAAAGCCTTCCCCTCTTTCGTCAACCCTCCACCTTACCAAGCATGACATCTTTCTCCAGGGAATGGTCCCTCTGACAACATGACCAAAGTGTGTGAGACAAAGTCTGGCCATTCTTGCTTCCAAGGAGCATTCTGGCTGCACTTCCTCCAGGACAGATCTGTTAGTTCTTTTAGCAGTCCATGGTGCTTTTCAGCATTCTTCGCCAGCACCACAACTCAAAAGCATCAACTCTTCTTCGGTCTTCCTTATTCATTGTCCAGCTCTCACATGCATATGAGGC